AGAATGGCTGTTATCAATAAGACAAGAAATTTTAAGTGTTGACAAGGATATGGGAAAAGGGAACCCTCATACACTGTTTGTGGGAATGTAAATTAGTACAGCCACTATGGAAAACAGTGTAGAAGTTCCTCAAAAAATTAAAAATATAACTGCCATATGATCCAGCAATTCTACTGCTGGGTATTTATCTGAAGAAAATGAAAACACTAATTCAAAAAGATATATGCGGGGTGCCTGGGTGGCTCAGATGGTTAAGCATCTGCCTTCAGCTCAGGTCATGATCCCAGGGTCCTGGGATCGAGCCCCACATCCGGCTCCTGGCTCAGCAGGGAGCTTGCTTCTCCCTCTCCCTCTGCCTCTCCCCCTGCTCATGCCCTCTCTCTCTCTCTCTCTCTGTATCTCTGTGTCTTGAATGAGTAAATAAAATCTTTAAAAAAAATTTGTAAATAAAAAAATATATATATGCATCCCTATGCTCATCACAGCATTATTTATATTAGCCAAAATATTGAAACAAATCTCCATCAATGGATGAGTGGATTAAGAAGATGTGGTGTATATATACAATGGAATACTACTCGGACGTAAAGAAAAGAATGAAATCTTGCCATTTGCAACAACATAGATGGACCTAGAGGATTAAGTTCAATGAAATAAGTCAGAGAAAGACAGCTACCATATGATTTTACTTATATGTGGAATCTAAACAAAACCAAAATCCATAAACAGAGAATAGAATGGTGGTTACCAGAGGGGGTGGGCTTGTGGGGTGGGCAAAATAGGTGAAGGGAGGTCAAGAGGTACAGACTTTTAGTTTTAAAATAAATAAATCCTGTGATGTAATAAACAACATGGTGACTACAGTCAGTAGTATTGTAGTGCACATTTGAAAGTTGCCAAAACTTTCAGTGGCTCATCATTGAACAGAAATGGAATCAGACTGTGCTATTTCTCGGATTATGGAGTAGGATGCTTAACTTAGCTTTTCTGTGTTTTCATTTGCCATTCTTTATTTGTTATATATTTTTAAAGGGGGTAGAGAATTTTCAATATCTATGTCAAAGTTGTTTATGATATATATATCATATATGAAAACCTAGCTCCAGGAAGGTACTCCCTAATAGTGAAGGCTATTCTTAATCTGGCATTCAGAGACCTTCACATATCACTTCCCCTTTCTCTTCCTCACTTCCCAATGCTTTGGTAACACCAGATGTTTTTTATCATACATTAACATGCCATAAACAATTTATACATTTACTTCTCTGTTCCCTATGCTTGGAGTGTGCTTCTCCCCTGTTTTCTTATTCACTTCCCAAGGCTTATATCGGTTGTCCCAATACCTCTTCAACTCTCTAAACAGGTTAATTACTCCCTCCCATGTATACCCATGGAAATTTAATGAGAGCCCTAAAGCTGCTCTAACCATCTATCACAATGCATACACTTTTGTCTCTGCCATAGATGATGAGCTTCTTAAAGGCAGAAATCATATCTCATTCATCCTTCTATAGATCATAAGATGTGCTCCATAAATGTTTGAATTAGTCAGTGGGTAAATGGAAAAGATTAGAAACCATCAATTTGTATTTATTTTGGAGTCATAGAGAGTGTCCACATCATGTCAGGAACTAGGAGCAGTAAATTAAGATTGTTTAGTTTAGGAACTAAATTTTTAGACCTACATAAATATGCAAGATCATCTGAAGAAGACAGAATGGCTCCAGGCCAGCAGGACTCCACAGAAACCAACTTGACTGTACTAATAATGTATTTAAAGAAAGAATGGGCCATTTAAAGAAGAGTGGATTAACCCCAGTAAGCTTAGAAGATAAGGGTCACTGTGGCAAGACTTGATCGTGGCTCTTTGGAGTACTTTCCAGGAAAGAGTCAGCTTTCTAGAGTTTGAGTCCCAACTGTAAGGTTTTTCATGGAGCACCATAGATACATCATCTTATTTTAGCCCAGTGCTATTAAGCATTTGTGCCACATAGTTCTCATTTGTGTTTTCATTTATGCTCATCTCATAGCCCATTAATTCTTATTCTTCCCATTATAAACTAAAAATTGATTTTTGATTGTGATTTGGCTTCTCAAGTGGACTCATCCATTATAGACTTCAATGAGGAACTCCATGAGAAAACTTACACACCTTCAAAGCTAAAGCCCGAGTCCAGTCAGCTTTCCTTTGGATAATGTTTTTATACCACTTTTGATTACAAAATAGACCAGTGTCTATACCTAGTACATAAAATGAGTCGATGAGAACTTAAAAAACTCTCCCACATCTGCCTAAGTTGATTTCTATCACCAACATAGCTAAAATTCTTATCATTATTCTTCCTTCTAAAAGTCCTGTTAGTTAACTTGGTAAAGGAATTATATGACCTAGGAACACCGCTAAACTTAAAACCTAAGGTTATGAGTCTGAGTTGATTAGGCATTTTGTTTGCAAGTCACAAAGACCGACTCAGCTCGTCTCAAGAAAGGTGAGTATATTGTAAGGATACAAGGGGCACTTAAAAAGAAGGAACATCATAGGAATCCAAGAAGGCCTAGTGGGCAATAGAAGAGTCAAGATCCAAGCATGAGAGCAAGAGGATTATGATTTTGCCTCTCAGCATTGAGAGCTCAATAATTTTCAGTTTTGTGCTTCACCATTAATGGACTCTCTCTAATGGCTATTTCTGGCTCTCTGTGTATTCCCTTCTGTTTTTGTTTTGATTACTTGTTGACATCTGTCTTCATAAATATTCAAATATCTACAGAGGGAAATTCATATTAGACCTCAAGCCACTGTCATTTATGTTCAGGCAGAGCCTTTGCAACATGTCTCATCTGAGGCTGCTGGCCAGCCTATAGGCAAGTCCCCTGGGGTCAGGTTCTCATCAGTACAATCACCTATGGTGAGGCAGGGCAGTTGAATGGTTAGAAGCTGATCACCTATGCCTCAGACACCCAGGAGGTCCAAACATGGGGCAGTTCTCCTCATAAGAAGCTGTGGGTTGGCGGGAACCTATAGGTTAAAGTCAGATAATTAATCCATAGAGCCAGAGAACTCAAATGTAAGTATGTGGATGGGCTACATCAGAATCTCCTGGGATCCTTCTAAAAATGGAGAATTCTGGGTTTCACTCTAGACCTACTAAATTAAAATCTCAAGGGATGGGATTAGAGAATATATATTTATTCTCCAAGTGACCACGGCTTTGACACTGTGAGGGAATGGAACTATGTGAAGGATGGGAAGGATCAGACTGAAGGTTAGAAAGTCTTCCTGGGGGCACCTGGGTGGCTCAATCGGTTAAGTGTCTTGACTCTTGATTTCAGTTGGGGTCATGATGTCAGGGTTGTGATACAGAGCCCTACGTTGGGCTCTGCACTGGGCATGGAGCGTGCTTGGGATTCTCTCTCTCCCTCTATCCCTCCCACCTCACGCATGCATGCATGCATACTCTCTCAAAAAAAATTGAATGAATGAATGAATAAAAGAAAGTCGTCCTGATTCTCTTAATAAATTTGTAGGGGAATTCTAATGTACTATAGTGGAATTGTGGCTAAAAACACATTTGAAAAGTAAAAGTGCTGAGGTGCGATATTTTCTTACAGAGAATTTAAAATTGTAAGGAATATGTTTCCCTGTAGATTCCAGAGTTTACACCAATGACAGTCTGAGAGACCAACAAAAACTAATGTTAAACTCAACCACCATGAACTTTTGGGATGGCCTTAAGCAATGTTGAGAGCTTGCTTCATTTTCTTTTTTCCTTATCTATAACAGGTATATTTGGTAAAATATCATAAGCAACATATAAAGGAATTTTTTCAAAATGCTACCTGAATTATAAATAAAATTTTCATGAAATAATTTAAGAAAATCTTTTATTTTAATGGAAGAAAGGAAACTATTCTTTAATGCTTTAAAGGAAGAGTTATTTAATACAGATATTTCCTAATAATATTACTATAAAAATAAACACATACTTCTAGATATTATCTTTATTACAAAACATATTTTATGTTGAGGTAACATTTCAAAGGATATTTGGCAAAAATCAATTCTATATACACAATTTCATTATGTGCAACGTATGTAAAGGACTCAGAGAATAATTTTCTCCAGCATTGCACACAGACTGATTTTAGGAAAAAAAAATAAAGCTGAAAGTTATCTATTTAAAGAGGGATTTCTTTCTACTATTCTCCCCCACCCCGTCTTCCATATCATATCACCAGTGGTGAGTGAGGCAGTGTTCATGAGAGTTCCACAAAAAGCATCAAAAAGGGTAAGTTACTTGAAAACAAAGTTTTGTTTATCCAGAATACCGTACTGTGCCATAATTTGAAAGTGCTTTCAAAAACTAAATACTTAATCATACAGGATTCACTATTCCTTATGCAAAGAATGAATAGAATTCTCTTGTCTTCAATGGAGAAATGTTATGCAGTGCTCCAACTCTAGCGTCTTTTCTGCTGTGAAGCCCTCCCGGATTTTCCAAGGCAAAGTTGGTCCCATCTTCTGTGCTCCCATATATTTTGTTCTTACCTCTTACAGCACTTACCACACTGCATTGTAATAATTCTTGTTTCTCTCATATGTATCCCTGTTTAGCTTTTTAAGTTTATGTATCCCTCTATAAGCTCCTCAGGAGCAAGAAACAAGCCTTAAGCTTCTTTATATCCCAGCCCCTAGCACAGTGCCTGGTACATAACAGGACCTCAATAACGGTTATGTTAATGAGTTAGCAACTATTTCAGGTGTGAAGCTATAATGCACATCTTTCTTTGCTTCCAGTCTCATTGAGTGTGTTCTGGTGTCCTCTAACTATTTAAACCCCTATAAATTGGTGACACCCTAGAAACAAATATATCCAGCATTTCCTTTCAGAAAGAAATGGCCTGTTTGTCCTTCTGATAAAAAAAATCAATAAATTATTGTTATAATGATTTCCCTATTCTCCAACTCTGAAGTTGAGAGCCACTTCTTGGAAAAGTTGTTGCTAATAGCCATCTTGGCAGTCAGTGTCATCTTGATCCCCAATGGGTTTGTTGTGATAAGTGTCAACTGTTAATTTTCTGCTTTCTATCTCAGTGTTTTTTGAGTGACCATCTTCTTCACTGCTTGATTTGCTCTCAGTAGAGTTGCTGTCTTCTTTTGATTTGCTGCTGTCCTGAGAATCACTGGCATCGTCTTCCTCAAACTGGCTGTCCTGCTCAGACTGGCTTTCTTCACTCTGGCTCTCTGCTGAGGCACTGTGAGACTGGAGGCCCTCCTGGCTAGAACTCTTCCCCTCCTCAGTGGACTCTGGGCTCTCCTCTGAGTCTTTGAGGCTTTCATTGGATTCACTGTCAGCTTGCTCCTCTGTGGATTCACTTTCTGAACTGGAGGGTTTATTCAAGCTATTCTCTTCACTGGAGTCACTATCTCCCTGATCTTCTGAGTGACTGGTGGTGTTATCTGGGTTGTCACCCCTGGACTCACTCACCGCCTCTTGCTGAGATTCACTACTATTTTCCTGAGATGGCAGATCAACCTCTTGACTAGACTCACTACTGGGGTCTTGTACATTTTGACTGTCTTCTTGAGACTGAGTCTCCTCACTCTCTTCTAGAGATTCACTCTCGCTGTTTTCCCTGGACTGGCTGAGGCCAGCTTCTTTGGAGTTGGTGTTTTCTGTTGAGTCACTCTTGATTTCTTCCATTGTGTTGCTATCATCAAGCTCACCCATATCGTCTTCCTCAGAAATACGGGACTTTCCGAAAATTTTCATCCTGGGATACTCCACTGATTGGCTGTCACCTGAATCCTGAGTGCTTGCTTGCTCATCACTGTTTCCTTTTGATTCTTCTGATCTGACACTAGCGCTGTTCCTTCTGGAGTTGCCTCTGTCTCCCCTGATAATGTCTGGATCGTCATTCTGCATTTCTTCGTCACCAAACTCAGAGCCATCCCCATGGCTCCTGTCCCCTTCACTGCCTCCCCCCACCCAGTGCTCCTCACTCTCACTCTCTTGAGCAGAGTCACCTCTCTCAAGCCTGCTGTTCACCTCATCCTCATTGTCAAGGTCCCTGCTCTCACTGGCGGCATCTTGGGCACTGTCCTCCCTGGATTGTGTGATGTCAGCTGAGTCCTCATTACTTTTGAGTCTGGAGTTTCCTCCTTGTCTCTCCTCAGGTCCTGGGCCATTGTCATCATCACCAAAAGTGTCATCTCCACTGTCATCTTCATCATCATCTTTATCATCTCCTTCTTTTCCTCCACTCCTAGAGAGGCCATCAGCTGCCCTGTGCACATTTTGATGATCCTCAAGGCCCTCCTCTGATTCAGCACTGTCACTGGGGTCTTCGTTTGCCTGGAGTGTGGGGTTAACAAACATGATCAGTACTCCAGGAGCTGATATAGAGGGTGTTATCTGGGCTCCTCCTACTTTTTTCTTATGTCCCTCCTTCTAATCCATGGTCAGTTTTCCTGCTCAATAACATGTCTACCAGAGGTTAAAGAGGAAAGTAGAGGAGTTGAAACTCAAGTCATTCCATTTTATATAGGCACAATTCACTCAGTGCTACAGAAACTTTCTTAAAAAGCTCTACAGAAATCACATTCATGAAACTCAAATCATATTGTAAGTCTGATTCCTGGAAGAAACGCTCAGAGAATTTTTTTTTTTTTTTTGTACGTTAAAGAGATGTTTGAAATACTCATCAAATTGTCTGGCTTAAAACAGTTTTTAAAATCTTTAAAACAGATTTTAAAATGACCCAAATATTTTTTTCTTATCAACTCTGGGGGAGGGGAGAATGTAGTAGGGCAGTAGAATGAAACTTTTAGCTAAAACGAAAGTAAAATATTGTGGTAAGATATACATCTCACCCATACCATATTTATACTTCATTCACACTGGCAGAGGCTTGCCTGTAGAAGGCTTAGCTAGGGGACTGCAACTAGTGGGACCACCAGGAAGGCTTAGTTCTAAGTGTGGGCTCAGAGAGATTATCCCCATAAGTCAAACAATTGGAAGGACTACACAGATAAGGAAGGATAGTGAGTCTTCATTCATTATGCTATGGAAAAATCTGCTCTCTTTACCATACCCCATAGCAGAGCATTCTTGCTGCCTTTGTTTTTATTTTTCCACTTGTCCCTACTGATCAATATCTGACTTTGCAGTTGGGAGTACAGAATGATGACATCTCCTCCCGTTGCTAGAGTTTACACTGGTATGCTGGAACTACGCATCTTTTTAGCTCCCCATACCTCAAAAGGCACATATTGCACCCTTCTCAAGCAGGTACTATTATTCTCATTTGAGAGCTCAGAGAATATTAAGGCAATAAATCATAACATCTCCAGAAAACATCCCCAATTCTATGCTTATAAATTCCTAGAATGTTCCTCAGACAAAAGTGGTAAAAGACTAATAATTCGGGTGCCTGGGTGGCTCAGTTGGTTAAGCAACTGCCTTTGGCTCAGGGCATGATCCTGGAGTCCCGGGATCGAGTCCCACATCGGGCTCCCTGCTCAGCAGGGAGTCTGCTTCTCCCT